TTGTGCTCCGGATTAGGCAATAGGTATATTGGTACTCACTATCAAGTTTCTATAATCAAGGTTTAAATTACTTTCTCTTATTTATATAACAATCCTTTTGGGACCTCTGTACTCGCGGTAAACCACTCCCAGACCTTTTGAGCACTGCAAATGTAACGGTAACACAAAGCTATTACTGCAACTGTGTCAGATCAAAGTCATTCCCTCTAGCTAACAGTATGACGTCACAAAGGCCGAAAAGTGTGACGTCACAAAGGCTCTACCTAATGGATGTTTGTACCGAAATATACAGCTATGAGTCGAGGGACATAGATATTGCTTGAGTAATTCAGATCACATTCATGTCATACTAGCTGTCGCCCGCGACTCCGTATGCGCAGCATTAAATAACATCATTAGTAACATATGTGTTTTTCTAGATTATGTTCTATATGTATGCCAAATTTTATCAAGTTCGGTTTAGCCGTTCTGGAGATACATTCAAACAAACATCCATCTAAATATTCACATTTATAAATAATATAGTAAGATTCAGAAAGTAATAGTAGAGTAAGATTTAACGAATAAACGTGATTCTGTTAATAATAATTACAATGGAGTCAATCCATATTTGACATTTTGCTGAAACTTGTTTTCGAGTTAATTAAAAAAATCTATAAAGTTTGTAGCTACTTTTATAAGCGAATAATCCAATAATGTATAAAATCAAAGTTTTATAGGTTCGCCTGTACATGAAAACTCACTTCCAAGTAATCCGAGTTAAGTTCGCCCACGAATAACTTAAAGTCTCTAAGGATTTAAGTAAAATACTTTTTGTAATTATGTTAAAACTTTGAGATATATTTATGACCTCCTTACAGATAATATTGCGAGGGTGTCAGGAGTGCTCTATGTCGCTTCAAGGAAATGATAGCTACTCTGGCGGGGAACTGATGCGCCCCATATACTATAATACATAGACTTATAAACGCTGAAGATGTGTGTAAGGTACGCTAAGTCGAAGGCAGTGGTCTCTACCTATTCCTATGGATCCCAGCCGTTACTTATTATGTTGTTATCACAACCGCCACATTCAGCGTATACCAGAAGTTTTGAACATTTGTAATAAGTTAAAATAAAAAACAATCCATTTGTTTTGAATCACTGCCATTTTTCCCTTATTTTTTAGCCGACTTCAAAAAGGAGGAGGTTATCAATTCGTCTGTATGTTTTTTTTTTCTATCACTAATATAGTACTTGCCTTATGAGTTGGCACGTCAATTTTAAGGTCCTATAATAATTATACAAACGAAATCAAGGTAAGATTTCATAGCGTTACTGTGCGAAGCAATCTTTATGAAGTGCTGTAAAATTATAAAGAAACCGCGTGTCCCTGACCCACTTTATTCCTTTTAGGAAGTCAGAACAATCATCTGGTACATTTTACGTGTGAATTTTTGGGTATCATTAGTAACTCCTAGTTAATTCTTAAGTATTTAGGGCAAAAACAGATTAATTTAGTAATTTATAATTGCAGAAAAAAATGTTTACAGTCTATGTATTACAGTTTATAAGAATAAAAATGGAGGCCATAAGAAAACGGAAGTTAGTATAATTGTTCACTTGCAAACAGCAAACAATGGAGAAATAATCTGATGATCTACTTCCGAAGACACGATTTTCCTTCCCATCTCATCGCTCTGATTTATCTTTCCTTATATTAAAGGAAAATCTTCAAAGTACACATTAGTCATTTATCTTAATAAATTATATTAATGGAATGAACTAAGTTTTTCCTACTTCAACAATGGGCACAAAGAAGCTTATCTACAAACAATTGTTGGGATGAACTTTGAACACAAAAGCTCTAGAACTTAAGACTATCCAGTCTATGTGTAGAGTTATGTGTTACATTGGAGGAATGCGATGAATAAAACCTATACCATACTACTTTCGCTATATCTACATTACATAGCACGAGTAGTACATAATATGCTTCATAATTTGTCCTACACAGAGTTGTTATGTCTCTTAGGAAGCTCTTTATCTGTTTGTTTGTCTGGCTGTCTGCAAGGCTGCGTTTGTTCTGGGTATTCTTCGTAACATTACTTGTAGGTAGCTTATGTGTAGGAGTAACTTAGGCTATTTTATTTAATGCCACACAGACGAAGTCGCGGTTGACCATTAGTTTCATTTGAAGCGAGCAAACTATCTCTTAAGAAATTAATAAGAAATTTCTCTTCCTTTGAATGGAGAAATGTTAATAGATACTTACTAAATATTTGTTGCAAAAAATAAACAATCTTTAGAGAATTTTGCTATTAAAAGTCGCGAGGTCCGTTTTATGTACCATTAAAAGTGTTTCAAGGGAATGAGTAAAGGTGTATAATAATAAAAATATAGTAACGACTTCGCTTTCAAGTTTTATTGGCAAAAGGAGTTGGAAGAAAATTAAATCATTGAGTTATTAGTCTTTGACAGTCACGTGAACTAAGACTGAATTTTTTTTATCAAATAAAATGTTATCCTGTATGCATTCAATTGATTATTGACGTAAATTTATGAGACAAAGAATTAAACAATTATTGTTCTCCAAAGTTTTTGTCTCCTGCCAACTAATATTTTAAATAATCTAAAGAAATAGCTTATATATATAAAAATTCTTGTGTCACAATTTTCGTTCCCATGCTCCTCCGAAACGGCTTGACCGATTCTCGTGAAATTTTGTGAGCATATTGAGTAGGTCTGAGAATCGGCCAACATCTATTTTCAATCCCGCGCGGACGGAGTCGCGGGCGACAGCTAGTCTTAAGTCTAAATTTACATATTTAAGTAGTAAATAATGTTGTGTCACTTTGTTGAATGTATTTTCTAGTCATAAATCTTTTTAAGAAATGTCCAAGAAAAATATTGAATTATATGATAATTGCATTACAAGTTTCCAAAGAAGAGATGAAATTTATCTGTGGAAAGTTTCCTTTTATGTTTAATGGCGGAGTATCGCTTTAATTTTTTATTTCTTTTCGTAATTTCACTTTTCTTTTCGTAGGTACCTATTTCATACATTTATTTAAAAAAAATACTATTTGGTTTTTGACTACCATAATATTATGCCTTTATAAAGCGTCACCTTAAATATTTCAAGTTTATTTCAACCTGAATATTACTAATATTATCAATGCAAATATTTAGATGGATGGATGTTTGTTTGAAAATATCTCCAAACCGGCTGAAAGAATCTCGATGAAATTTGGTAAAGATATAGAACATAGCCTAAAAGAATAGATAGGCTAATTAAGTTTTTGTACACATCGCGGGCGACATCTAGTGTTTATTAAGATATAAAGAAAAATGTATACGACAGTCGGAAATATATGTGTTTTGACCTTGGAATTGTCATTTCTGTTCACATTTGTTATTGACAAGCTCGCAATGAGAATGTCATGAAAGTACTATTCATTTTTGTATTTAATCAGTTGCTGTCAATATTATGTTATCGTAATATTACTAAAAAAAATGTTTGAGACAGTTTTTTGTATAAGGTGATTTAGTTTCAGGCAAAAGTAACAGTGGTAGAGCCCGCTTTAACATCTTCGCATTCGGCCCGGCTCGCCCAGTGAAATACTACGAACACACAGAAGACAGGCGTCAAGTGGAAGCTATTCCGCGTTTCGTCTGATGAGTGTGCGTCCCGGAGGCCTCATTTAGTCCACTTTCCCTTCGCACTCTTTTTCTTATAAGGAAAGGATGGGAATTAGAAATGGACTTTCCGGATGAGAGGATGCATGGAAAGGGAAGGTATTTTCTTTCTGTGCATCCTCTCCTCCGTCGATTTAAGGTAGGCAACGCATATGCAAATGCGTATGTCTATGGGTCACTTCGCTATTTCAGCGATTTCAGGTGGCCGCTCGCTCGTTTGCCACCTTATGATATAAAGTAATTTATCATTAAACACATTGTCAATATAATATACGTTTCTAAGTTCAGAAATGTCATTGAACTTAAACCCTCTGAAATAAAATGCAAAATTAAAATTCATAGAACTTTATTAAAACATTTTTAAATTAAGCACACGAACAATTAAAGTTGATTTTTAAAAAGTTTACAACTTTATAATCAAATGATACAAAATTACACAAAATAGAAAAACATTTTTACACAAAATTTAATAAGTTTTAATATAAATAAATCCATGTGGTCAGATCATCATAAGTCTATGGAATTGTGTTTAAAAAGCAGTTGCTCAAATGCAGATTATTAGATCCCTTTTCCACAAGCGCGACTGACGCAAAAATTATATTTTATTTAGTATAATTCAAAAAGAAATAATTTTCAATCGCGCTTGTATCAAAAGATTTTAAAATATCTCCGTGCTCTATAAAATATGTATTTTCAAACCTGCACTTTATTAAATAAGCTCAATAATAGATTCTACTCGGATATTAAACAAAATTGGATATAAAAAAGATTTAATTTCCCAGAAATGAAATGGCAGTGTTGTATTAGAATTGCAGTAAACACTACGGTATTAAATCCCTGTTCAACGCTTTCTGGAGAGAAATCAAAGATGTTGAGAACTTAATCCGGCAGCGGGAGCGTTGAAAGCATTTCTAAGAGAGTTTTATTTACGAGCAAAACTCTCTAGAAACACTTATCTTTTTTGTAACAAATAATATCAAATTCGTTCTTTTAGATACAAGAAAGTATTTCAAAACTACAACCTTTTCACCACAATTGAAATAATATCTTAGATAACAACATGCAAGATATATTTTGACGACATCAAGCTAGACTGTTGTCACTGTCAAAAGGTGAATATTCACTGCAGCGTATTTATTTAATATGCCGTTCTTACGAATGGTATAAATATAGGTAAAAGCACGATTTCCAAAGCACGTGTGGTTCGTGAAAGGGTACACTAGAAAATATCATAGAGCTCATTGTTCATCATCAGCTCTTTATTATTCCCCACCGAGGGGCTCGGAGCCTACCCTAAGTTAGGGGTGACTAGGCTTGGTTGACTTCACACATATCTTTAAATTTCCTCCCAGATATGTGTAGGTTGCATCACAATGTTTTTCTTCACTATCAGAACGTCGAACGTTGTTGTTCTGTTACAAGTAAACGCTCTAGTGTATACTCACCTTAAGACTACATTCGTTGTCGCACTTTAAATATCGTTACGCGTTGAAAACCGTAATTTAAATAATATTAATATTACACTGTTGTTTATGGTCTATTTTGTAGACAGAGTATAATTTACTCGTTGTCCAGGTTACAAATTGTTAAAAGTATTATCGTCATGTCTTGATTTAGTATAGCATTTAAGTTTCCTCTTTGAAATTATATGTTCATTATGGATGAGGAAGACACTTCAAGTATGGCTTGTTCCATTTTCTTTCTCTTTCTTCGCTTCTTCGAATCCTTTCACGAGGTTTTCTAAGATGAATCTGATAGTGATTTTATAAATATTCTCAATATTAGGGGTGTACCTGTCACCTAGTGTTGTCTTTGCTGCATCTAAAAACGGCTTTTCGATTTTCTGAAAAAGGCAATAAATAAAATTGATAATTTATATATAAAATAAAGTCGTGTTAGTTACACTATTACTAACTCAAGATCGGCTTTCCCATGGTCAATTATATGTTGGCATGTTCACGGGTCGGAAGACCATCTGCGTTATTTGTTTTTGCGCCTGATAATAAAACAAAAAATGTCGTGTATCCCAAGTATTTAAGTGAAGAGGAACCTATGTACTAAAACGCAGAAACAATAATAAATGATTAATGTACTTAATTTTTTTATATTATAATAAAAAGATTAACTTTATAAATTCGAAATTCTGCTTATTTATTGCCTTTGAGGCGGAACAGAGTTCGCCGGATCAGCTAGTATACATATAAAAGAAAGTCGTGTTAGTTACACTATTTATAACTCAAGAACAGCTTAACCGATATGGTTGAAAATTGGTGAGGAGGTAGCTTAGAGCCAAGAGACGGACATAGGATACTATTTATTCTTTTTTCGAATTTATGTCTTGAAGAGATGATTTTTATTTAACTTATCTATATATTAAGTTTTTTTTGTATATCCACACGGACGGAGTCGTGGGCGACAACTAGTTAATAATAAAATAACATAATGTAGAACATACTGTTTTCTAAGCCTCTGCTTAGTCCTGCTATTTTGAGCAAGAAAAGTACTATTTCCTAGTTCACTAGCGCGAACGTATCTATTTCAAAATAGCAGTCGCTTGTCTAGTCGCGCTAGTGGAAACGATCTTTTAGCAGGAACTAGCACTCACCATAAAATTATCAGCCACAAAGCCCGGGACTTGTGTATGTGTACTGCCAACATGTTGAACGTAGGCGAAGAAGGAGTCCATATCGCCTAGGCCTTTGATGCCCTCGTCCAGCGTGTGCATGACCTTGGTGGCGTGCTCGGCCAGCTCCGTCGAGCTCACCTGAGCTTCTACTGTCTGCAAGTGACGGAAGTCCTCGAACAAATGCAGGAGCTCTTCATTCTCTTGGAACAGTCTGAAAAATAAATATCAGGATTCAGAAGATTCTCTCGTAAATTAATAAGCAATTAATAAAAAATATATTTTTTACATAAATGTCGTTAAATTTCAGTTTAAGTATCGATTGATAGATGACTACGTTTTGTCTATTAGTAAAACATCGTATTAGTGTTGAGTAGAGAAATACAGATTCCTCTTGTGTGTAGTAAAAAAATATTTTTATTGCAATTTATTATACAATGCAATCTGAGTAATCGCTTTTTATAACAAGTTAACACTAAAAAGAAGAAAAAAAGTAAAAAAAAACTTAAAAAGCCGCATTCCTTTTCACTTGTGTCCGTGATAGTACAATGTCTATTAGAAAATAATGGAAAGTTTATTATTCTAGATATAATCGATAGACGACGTGACTGAAATGAAACCGGAAGCGAACAAATACGAGGCCGGGAAATTGGCAGGTGGAAGATTAAAGGCGGCCCACTTTGATCTATTAATGCACTTGGAACAATAATCTTGCTTCTATGATTTTCTACACGTGTGGTTCTGTTTACTTGTCTGTATGTTGTTTTTAAGAGTTTTATCACCGTTAAGAGTACTGGTCAGAAAATTTGATTACTTTTTATTTTATTGTTTTCTAGCTGTCTAAATGAATTAAAAAAAACTCAATTAGATAGTAGCCTATGTGTTCTTCCAGACTATGTTCTACATCTATGACAAATTTCATCAAGTACCGTTGAGCCGTTCCGAAGATAACGTCCAACAAACATCCATCCAAACATTCGCATTTATAATATAAGTAAGATTTATCCAGTGAACTATCACGAAATCATAACTATGTTTCATCATCATCAGCTCACTATACGTCCTCACCGAGGGGCTCGGTGCCTACCCTAAGTTAAGGGTGATTAGGCCATAGTCAACCACGCTGGCCAAGTGCGGGTTGGTTGACTTCACACATATCTTTGAATTTCTTCTCAGATATGTGCAGGTTGCATCACGATGTTTTCCTTCACCGTAAGAACGTCGGATAAATGTACATCTGTAAATCGGAAATCGAAAAACACATTGGTACATGGCGGGATTCGAACCCAAGACCTGGAGATTGCTAGTCAAGTGCTTGACCACTGAGCCACCGACACTGCCTACTATGTTACGTATTTTATTTTAATTGAGTTCTCTATTAAATATCCCCACAATATCAACAAACTAAATCAGGAACTGCAAGAAACTGCTAACAACTGAATAGTTTCAAATTACATGTGCTGAATAGTTCGATATTGTTACTCAGGAATATTCAGATTTACTTAGTATTTGAAAGTTAGAGACTATATTGAGTACACTACGATCCTATGAATTTTAAGTTGATTAATTCAATAATCGAATCTAAAAAACTACACGAGGATATTGTTCTTCAAATTAAACGATCACATACTATAGAATAGCTGTTGTCAGCGAATCCGTCAACGTAGAATTTAAAAAAAAACGTAATGAGCCTATGTGATCTTCCAGACTATGTTCTAAAACTATGCCAAATTTGAGCGAAATCCGTTAAGCCGTTCCGGAGATACATTCAAACTAATATCCATCCATCCATCAATCTACCTATACAATAAACATTCCTATTGGGCAAATTAAGGCTGGCATGGCCCGAGAACAAACGCAGAGCCCAAGAAAGAGCGAACTGGCGGCGCACTGTAGACGCCCTCTGCCCCACTACGGGGACATAGGACTTTAAGTCAAGTCAAGTAAGCCTATTTATAATGTTAGTAAAAAGTAAGATATTTAAAGTGATAAACCTACAAGAAAAAAAAAAACGTAGCAGAATACTTAAGAACTAAAATTAAATATTATAGATAAAATATAAAATATATTCAGTTGTCATGACACACATCCCTTTTAACACTAAAGTCACCGTTAATGGAACAGTCACAAAATCGATGTCTTTTGTCACAATAATTTCATAAGAAACAATCGTATGTTGAGTCACGTCAAACATTGGATAACACGTCCAAATATCAGCGTCAATGATCAACCGCCGGCCATTGTGCGACGCGCGACTTGCATACAGACAACTTTGACGCACAATCATAATGATAATTAAACCAACGGGGAAAACGGACGGATAAAATTATATTAGGCAAGAGACGCGCTGGACGTAGGAAAAAGTCGTGGCTACGTAATATTAGGGAGTGAACGGGGATTAGGTCAGCGGTGGAACTGTTTCGCCTTGCGCTTGACAGAACCAAATATTCCAAGTTAGCGGCCAACCTTCAAGACCGAAGAAGCACTGGAAGAAGAAGAAGAAAATTATATTTCACATCCTTACTCTAGAAAATCTAACTCACGCCTGCGATTTTGTCCGCGTGGACTTTACTTATCATTGTTCCGTTCATCCAGTTTAGCCGGTCTAGAGTTACGATAACAATATCCATATCAATCCAATTTTAGATTAAGTAAAGGAACGAAAGGTCTATTAAACCTTACGTATTTTAAAGGAAGTTAAGATTTGTTACCGACTGTTAAGAAGCTTTCTTATTAAGACTCAAGAAGACTAAAAAGTTCAAGTTGAGTAGAGATTTTTTGTCCGGATTTTTTTTTAAATTGTAACTCTATGGTATTCCTAAGTAGTTGTCGCCAGTGACTCTTTAAAAAAAAGACTATGTTCTACATCTGTGCCGTTTCATCAAGATCCGTTGAGTCGTTCCTTTTAACAAGAATCCATCCATCTAACCTTTCGCATTTAGTAAGATAAGTACGATGGATAAAACAATTAAGGCTACTACTATGCAACAACTAATTTCATAACTAAATCAATACATCCATTTGTATAAATGTTAAACATCTTATAAAGTCTTTAACACTCGTTATGAATCGATTTTTAATTACCCGCAAGCGGAGGGAATACAATTTTTGTCATAATTAATTTTCTTTTGTTCGCTTCGTTATTCGAGAGGGACCTTAATGAGAATAATTTATAATACCGAATAAAAATGTTTGTATTCTTAATATTAAGCTATTAATGAATGTTTTACGTCAATAAATCGAATATTAATGTTTCTATAATATAAAACTAGCTGTCGTCCACGACTCCTTCCGTATGGCATTAAAAAAAACATAGTAAGTAGCCTATGTGTTCTTACAGAATATAATGTAAATGTATGTCAAAAACATCCATCCGTTCATTTAAACTTACGTATTTATAACATACACCAATTTTTTTTTAGCATAATGTGTAAATTATCTTTTTTTTTGTAATATAGAAAATCATAGTAATTATAGCAACAAATTTTACTTGACGAATAAAATGATGCCGGTTTTCTCTATCTGTCTAAAGATTCCCTTCCATGATGCCAGCATGCAGTACTGCTGTTTGGCAGACAGGGGCGATCTGGGGTCGGCGGTCGGCGGCGGTCTTGATAGGGGGTCGTTTGTGAACTCTGATGCAGCTAGCTGTGATAACTTGCAACCCATTATTGAAACACTTCGCACACTGACGTTTAAAAGTCCGATTTTATTATTTAAAAAGCATCTAAATAAATGGCAAAATGGTTCAAACAAATTTAATAAATTCTTGTTCAAATTAAAAGTGTTGAAAGATGACGTTGAAAGGAAAAAGTTTGTTTGATTAATGTCAAGAGTTTCCTAATATAAATATTAAATTGTGAGATCAAATGTAAAGTGATTAATAAAATTTGAAACAAACTTTTTATTTTGTAATTAAAATAAATTTCTTTTGTTTCACATTCATTAACGTTCAATTTTATCACAGATTAAAAAAATCACATTGATATTATATTTGAAAACACTTGAATAAAATTTAATCACTAATTTAAATTAAAATTTTATCACTTTTAATTGGTTATTTTTTGAAAAGCGAACCTAGCATTGTCACAATATATTTTTAATTTCGTTTTTTCTCTGTCGTAGTGATGCCCGCGAAATATTTTTTATTACTGGTCTACATGTGGCGCGGCACGAGGTCTAGTGATGTGACACGTGACTACGTATTTAATAAATAGACGTTAAATAGTCTAAATTCTCCATTTAGCATATCGCTATTGTTAAATTTAAAATGTTTACGAAAAACCCAGCTGTCGTTATGACCGAATATATAATTTTAAAACAGCTAACAGTTGAACGATATTTTTGTCTATAGTAACAATAATATTTTTCTAGAATGAACAACGAAAGGAGAGGTTTTATTGTTCTTTTCAGTATTATAAATGTTTTAATTTAACGAGTTTTAATGTTTTAGGTTTACACAAAAATTAATAAACGAAAGTGCGGTTCGGCTTCGCCAATGAAAATGGAATTGATTTTTTTTCATATTTTTAGCTGTCGATTATTATTTTTCGATACTATTAAATAATAATTCACATCACTACTCCCTCAGGTGCAAACGCATTTTATGACGCTTGAAGCGATTGTGTGATAATAGTGCTGTCCTTTTTTGAACTTATGGGCCACATACGTCATTGACGTGACATTAGTACTAAATTTTTAAGAATTATGAACCTTAATCCGTTGTAATACGGTTGTTTTTGTACATATTATTTGGTTGTACAATCGCGGTCAACGTTTTAATGTTACAGAATTATACCGCGAAAAATTAATACCTTGGTTAACCATAAGACGTGTATGTAATTAAAAGTAACACGATTTTTATAGTTTACTTTACATTAAAAATATAACTACATACATTTTCATATATTATGTAAAATTATTAAGGTTAATATTTGTTAACCAAAGTTTTCTTTTACTAAAATGTTCAGGTCAGTATAATTAGATTTTTTTTTTAGTTAATTATGTATTATTATATGTATATAGTTAAGTAGTTATTTTGTTAGTTTGTTTTAAAACAAATATAACTGAGAACAGGTAAAAATAATTTATTAGACATTTATAAATAATTTTTATTTTTAAACCGAAAATTACAATATTTTTTACACACAGACCGTATCTTTTGATTACAAACACACATATTTAATTAATTTCTCATACAAATTCTTAAGCGTTTCACTAAAACACAATTAAATAGATTATTAACTTTCCTAAGGTCAAGGATACATACAGATCATTTGCCTAATTATTTAAGCCTACAACATAAATTAAAAATAATAAATAACAAGAAAAATATACATATTTCATTCTTTGAAAAAACTTTATTACCTTTAAAAAGTTAACATAAACATAAAATGATATATAAAAACGGCTAAACACTGACGTATATTCGTCCGGTGGCGGCACCGACTAGTTTCGAGCCCTTTGGGGGCCCTTCATCAGGATGAGTGGTACTGGTATTATTTCGCGGACGCGGTCCGTCGCTCACTGACGACGACGACATTTATATATCAGTTTAGTATAATGTCTCACGAAAGTTTGAATAATTTAATAAACATAAAATAATCATTTTTTTAATTTTAAAAAGGTACAGTCGATAAAAACAGTGGTAACAATTTTATTAATAAATATATATGTTTCTGAAAATACAGCTTCGAGTTATTTAGAAGTCTTTATTTTATCTATTACGTAGTTTACATATATTGGATACACATACAAGCATATATAATATATATATCTATATATTTAAATAACCACGAATTTTGTTTATAACATCTGAAAGAAAATGATAGCTATCTCTATTTTTATACGATAATGTGTGGGATGGCAATGTTGTAATACATGTATAAATACAGTGGAGACTCGCAGTAACAATAAATTAGCTAATGGCATATTATAGTGAAACTATGACACGAAAGCGTTTTCATTAAAAAGTAATCAGGGTAATTGAAAGGAAAATACGATGTGTGTCACTTATACATTGACTTTTAAGAGATAGGATCTGTGAAGCGCGCGTATTCCATCTAAATTGCTTGCTTGTGTGCTCGTTTATTGTGTGTATATTTTTGAGTCAGTATAAGTTCATAAAGTTGTTTTTGGTATTATATGTAGGAGTGGAAACATGATATGCATATGTGATTTTCATCTTTACGTCCCCCCGTTAAAAAAGGGGCAGAATTAATTTAGAGCAAGAAGCGCGGCGGCTATTTAACTAGTCCGTTTTTCTATAATCAAATTTTATATAAAGGAAAGCTTTTAATGCAAATTATTGTGACCGCAACAGCTCTCTGCGTACAGTTCAAACAAAAACGTTACCTACGCAAACAGCCGAACTGAAAACTTGTTTTTCCTGACGTAAATCTTTGTTTACCTCAACCCGTAAATTTCACCCTGTTTTTTGTTCAAACAAACGCATCGACCGAATAGTTTGAAAGCGTAGAGTGATTGAAATGGCTAAATAAAGCAAAATCTAACATTTTGAATAGTAAAGCGCCACGTTGATGGTTAATTTTTTGCCAAATCTTATTCACTTGATACCATGCGACTTTACTTGACGTTTTTGTTCATATTTGATAAGTTTGAAGAAATGAATTTAACAAAAAAATGTTGTTAGAGATGATGGACGCTTTATAGATATATATAAATCCTATTTGTCATATTAATAATAAGAAACCGACTATGTTAATATATTTATTATTTAGTAGTCGTCTATTACTACTGAGTTTATGTTTCCAGGATAAAGCACAAGAAATGAACATCTGAGCTTTGATCAAATATTCATAAAGTTTACTGATTCCTCTCACATAGTTGTTATATGTTTTGTTGTACAAAATAAAGTCAGAGATCTGTACATGTATTGGGGTTTCAAAGGGATTTCGTCAACTTAGATGTGACATTTCTTATGTTTTTCGCAAATATACACATGTCTTCATCATGAAGGATTCTTTATGTAAATAAAAGGAGATTGTTGGTACAAACTGAAATGTTTTGTCATATGTTGTGTAAGAAGAATTTCATTGTTTTCATACCTCTAATAAAGTGTCGATAGAGATATTATACAATCACTCTATCGATATCGAGGTCTTATTTCCTTGTCTTAAACATCACTAAAATTCGCGTAGTTATAAAAAAAGGTAAATATTAATTGCATTAAAGGAATTCCTATCATTATCCAAAATGAAATATATTACACGATTAAAAATTAAAATTAAATTAATTTTGCATAAAATATTTTCGTAAAAATTAAAAAATTTACGTAACAATTTTACCGCTTTTCAAATGTACTATTACTCAATGGACACCATTTATTTCTACACTGAGGGTCTTTTTCAAACTAATATTTATTTAGGGTGTACACATAACGGACCGTTATCGCTATTTGACTTACAAAAGAAGATTTTCCCCTTGAGATGACAATGATTTTAGCATTCCAAATTAAATACTTAATAAATTATTCATTGGTTAATATTTCTTTAGATGTGCACGTGCTTAACAAGACTTTGTAAAAGGGGTGGACAGTTTTGACAAAAAAATACTGATTGAAAAAATTATTGCTGGTATAAATGAAGTCTTACATTAAACAAATTCCACAATTGCGTCATTACTAATATATATATGTTTTACTAAACTTTAAAACACTAAGGAATCATCTTAATACTGTTAATAATACTTATCAAGACTTAAGTTGACATTTAATAAACGTGTAACATCAAATAAATGTAAATTTTCCATCGACTCATAGAAGTTTACAAAGTACTATCGCGAAGAAAAGTTTTAACATCGACTATACACAAATTATTCACATTTAATATACATAACAGCTAATTGAAAAAACGCATTAGCGTCTCAAACCGTCTAACGTAAAGAGTTACATCTTTTTTTACATCGCTTAAGAGATGTAACTTTTTTCGTTAGATTGGTAATATGTTTTATATAGTAAATTGACACATTAAATTTTCTAAAATTTGATAGTTGTTTTTATTCGAGGTTTGTTTTCCGTTATAATACTTTGGTTCACGTGGCGTTACCCGGGGCTCCAGCTTTCTCATAGCCTTCTATAAGGGTCTCTAAGATAAACTTAATCGTAATTTTATAAATATTCTCGACGTTCGGTGTGTAACGATCGCCGAGCGTGGCTTCCACGGCTGCTAAAAATGGCGCTTCGATTTTCTGAAACAAAAACACTACGGTTAATTAAGCGATAACAGCTAGAAAAAGTTCCTTGACGCGTTAGCCAATTGTGTTAATTATATTGTTTTCCCTTAAAGTTTTGTTGGCTATTAGTTACCATTAACAGCTCAACTAAAAGGACTTAACTCATAATAGACCTATGAGAACTTTCGAAAAGATATCTTCGATTTTATCTAACAGATCGATACGATCAAGAACACATCTTACTAATATTATAAATGCAAATATTTGGTTTGATGTTTGTTAGAAGGTGGTGTGATCTCGCTGAAGTTTGCCATAGATGTAGAGCACAGCCAGGAAAAACACATGCGCTACTAATTTTTAATTACGCGCAAACGGAGTTGCGGGCAATAGCTAGTTTAAATTATAAATTACTTGTATACCAAATTTGATAATGTTTGACTTATGTTTACAGTTATAAATTTTATGAGGTGATTTGTCTCCCACGCGTGTCGGAACACGTACGCCATTTCGCTACGAACTAAAAAAGTCGAACTATCCTTTATTGGATCTAGCTTCGCGCCTGTGAATTGTCATCGTAAGTCGACTCACGTTCACTGTACAGCCCATGACTTTATATTTGGTAGCTTTGGTAATGTTATTTGTTACAATTGTATTGTGCTTCAGGTGGAGGCAAAGACGTTATCATCACGAATGATTAAATCTCAAGTCGTTGTAGGTTGAGCGAAAGGAAATAAAATTCCGAAATATTCAGGAGAAGAACAAGGAAGTATGAGAAAGTCTAATACTTTGGAATGAATGAGCCTATTGTTCATTGCTATTTTGGTTAGCCGGTACTTAAGATTTTTTTTAGCCCTTTGAGATGTTTTACTTTCCAGTCTATTTGTAACAATTAAATTATTTTAAGATGTAGAATAGTATTGAAAAATTAAAAAATCTACCAGTTTTATCTTTAATAAATAATAAGAGATAGAAGGCAAAGAAAAAAAAAACTATTCGCAAATATAAAAACTAATGGAAAACGCTTATCATAAATCGAACGATAAATATACAAAGGTTATTTTCGTGGGTAGCCGTAATATATTTGTAATTTAACGTTATACGTGAGGAATATCAATCATAACTGGATTCGCACGATGTTACAAAAAGGCGCGCTCGGTCGAAACTTCCAGATATATTCGACTTTCACAAGGACTGGTTCGTGACGTGACTTATGTTATATCTATTTTATTGATCTAATATTCGAAATAACTACGACATGATATATTTTAAGTTGATACTAGCTTTTGCTCGCGACTTCCACCGTGTGGAATTAAAAAAAAATCTTAATTAGTAGCTACTCTATGTCAAATTTCAGCGAGATTCGAAATCGTTTTGGAGATATCTTCTTACAAAATATCCTTATTTTAAAAGAAACTAGCGGACCCGACAGACGTTGTCATGTCTACACGTCTTTAATTTGAATAAATTAATATGAAGTTAATATTTGATGAAAATTGTGAATCTAAACCATTCCCAGATCCCCTTGAACACACACAAAAAATTTCATCAAAATCGGTCCAGTCGTTTCAGTGAAGTTCAGTGACATACACACTCACAGAAGAATTATATATATAAAGATTTTCGCATTTATAATATCAGTGAGATGTAAGTTTGTTCAAACATGACGAACTTGACGGATGAATGACACAAAAAAAAATAGTTTACCAAAAGTAAAAAATATTTTGTCATTTTGACTAAATTAATTATATTGGCATATAGTTAGTGTTTACTTTTCATTAACGTTAGTATTTGAACAGTGTAATTAATTTACTCGTAACGCCTTGGTTTCGTATTTTGTACGAGTAAGTTTAAATTGTGTAGTCTCTATGACGCAAGACACGTATGTATATTACTGCACATGTATACAAGTGTTGTATACATTTGAGCTGTCTATTTAACCAGGTACCTTTATATGTCTATAGTTTTAACAAGATCTAGACTTACTGTTTAACTTAGAACATAGAATAACTTAATTAACTACTTTGTATTCATTTTAAATGTTAATTTCTATGGATTAAGTTTTTAGTTTTATATAGGAAGGTGGAGAAAGAGAACCATGAATTACCAAACAGAGACAAGAAGAGATGGAACTTGCTTATTCATTATTCAAAAAGTAAATGTAACTAACAGTATTCTTACTAATATTATAAATGCGAATGTTTGGATGTACGGATGTTTGTTAGAAGGTATCTCCAGAAAGGCTCCATGAATTTCGAACAAGAAGGCTTCTAATTTTTAGCGGCCGTTAGTTACTTCCCCGCCACGTAGCGCATCCGAGATTTTTGCGCAAGCGCACACTGACGGCTTTAACGCCGTGCTGCGCAAACGGATAGCTTCGCTTTTACGCAGAGTGCAGGACAGCCCCAACACCATACTAAGAGGCCTTAGCGACAAGCTTGACTGCCCTATAGTGCGACACTGGTACGTGCGTGGGAAAATATACGACGTGCAAACGTCGTAAATTTTCCCACGTTATATTTTTTCCAAAACCAATGTAATATTTTTCCCAATATGTGTTACCTAATGTTACATGAAATAAATAAATAAAAAAAATATAAAAAAAATATGCAAACTCACCCAAAAATATTCAACTTTGAATCCAGGTATCCGTCTATGACTGGCGCCTACTTGATGTATGTACGCGAAAAAGTTGTCCAAATCGTCGAGACCTTTGATGCCTTCGTCCAACGTGTTCATCACATTGTTGGCGTGCTCCGCAAGCTCCGTGGAGTTAATCTGCTCCTCTTTGGTCCTGTACTGACGAAACTTCTCGAACATGTGCAGAAGATCTTGATTTTCTTCGAATAACCTGGAAGGTAAAAGAATTATTAGACGTCTCTATCATGTTATATAGAATAGAAAAGGAGAGACAACCAGTAAAACGTAGGAAAACAATGAAGCAACGCTGGAGTTAGTACGCTTTATTTGATTTCTTTTAATGTGATCAGCTCGTGGTATTTTTTTAAATTCTTTTCAAGCTTTTAACATCTTTAAAAGCTTTTTTTTATTTATATATATTTGTTATTATTCCAAGTCAGTAAAAATATAGCGGAATTGAAAATATGCGATTTAAAATAAACTCTTATAAAATGTTTGTCTTTAATTTAATTGAGATTATGATTATGGCCGTTGTCTTCAAGTTTTTCAGTAAGGTATTCAAACTCTTATTTGTTTAACGTGTTAATTGTTGGCGTGCTAATTTTACAGCGTAAATATGAGATGCTAAAAACGTAGCTTGATACTATCACAATCTATATTTAATATTTAATCGATGAGTAACAAAAGAAATATTATTCTAGAAAAAAATGTCTAAACAATCTCAACAAATAAAAAAACATTTTGGAATTTTAGTTAGTATAAAAAATGTTAATAAAATCATACAATTTTGATATGTTAGATGTTACATTTTCCGTGCAATTCCTCTGTCAAAACACATGTTTCCAAACATATTGTTAAATCTTTTTTTCAAAGGGATAACAATATGTAAACAAATGTTTCGCCAGTGGAAACCCACAGTTAGCCAATTCAATATCTGCTCTTACTGTTCCAGTAATCATTCTTCAAAGTTTACAGCTCGCTATCGGGGAAATAAATCACTGGGTTACTGGATCTTCGCAAATTTTGTGCTAAAACGACTGAACATTAAACTCTGTTGATGCCGGTATTTTATGACGAGTATAAAATTAACTATTTTAATTCTATGTCAAAAAACCATTTTCCACTACCAAGTAAATCAATTTTTCAATAAAAATAGTAGGGAATATACCACAGTCCGACTAACTTATCTGACCCGGTGTGTATAAGTGACACTAAATTATAATCAGATTTTGAGAATCTTTGTTTATCTTTTCTAAGCCTAAATAACTAGTTTTTTTTTGTTGGAACTGACCGCGATAACATCGCCTTTCATCGGGTCAATTAAGTTTGTCGTACTATAATACATAATTCATTTGCGACTGCTTTTATGACGTGAAAATTTATTCAAAACAGAAAAAAATAACAATAATTTCATATCAAATATTTCTTTATGAGAATAGTCTGCGCAAAAAGAAATGTGATTGAAAAAAGGTCGTCACTGATTTATTCGGGAAATATATAAAGCTGGGTCTGACCCGCGTCGGAGTATTATAAAATAAGTCAATCTAAATGGGAATGAAGTCTGCGCGGAGATATTTTGTAAATCAAACCTAAACGATACTATTGAGATGAATAAATTGTTACTTTAATAAAATTAAAAAAAAATACTTACGATAAAACCTGTTAATTTTTATTGTAATGACTAACCTCGGGTTTCTGAGACCAAAATATCAGTTTAAAAAATATCTGTTTAAAACATATCGTCATCCCCGTCATGACAAAACAGAAATAACAATACGTTCTAGTCGGGGATTTTGATCTCAGAAACCCACGGTAAAATATGAAGAAAGAGGAGATTTAAATTTTGTGATATCAGCATTTATAATTCAGATTTGCGAGTATCCATAGATAAATCTATATATAAAAGAAAGTCGTGTTAGTAACACTATTTGTAACTCAAGGACGGCTTTACCGATATGGCTGAAAATTGGTGAGGAGCTTAGAGCCAGGAGACGGACGTAGGATACTATTTATTCATTTTTTTTGAATCTATGCCTTGAAGAGCTGCTTTTTATTTAACTTACCAATATTATAAATGCGAATGTTTAGATGGATGTAATGTGGATGGGTGTTTGAAGATATCTCTAGAACGTTTTTTTTATTATTTTTTTTTCACGCGTACTGAGTCGCGGGCGATAGCTAGTTACAGAATAAATTTTGACACAAATAAAATCCGTTCATACTTTATTTATAAACCTTTTAGGTTAGAAAAAAATCACCAGATGGCGTTGTTGGTTATTAGAGTAAGTGTAACTAGTGCAGTAGGGCCATAAAACGTGATGCCAAGGGTCCATTCCGGCCGTAGGGGCCATTATAAGAGCTTCATAAACATTTTATGTCCGCCAGTCGGTGTTATGCTGAAGACAGATTCACTTTCATAAATTTGTTCAGTTATTCTAAGGTTTCTTGGGTGGTCTATAGATGTGTTTCTCTTCTTCGTTTATTAACTAAAAAAATCCGATAATATCATAAAAAATAAATCGTAAACGTCTGACCAATCTTACTATTATTATACATGTGAAAATTTAGGAAGATTGACGGATGTGTGTTAAACCCACAGATTACGTAATTTGCCACAGATATACATAGTCTGGAAGAACACTTACGCTAATTAAGTTTTTTTTAAATTCAGCGGGAAAGGAATCGCGGGCGCCAGCTATATTTAAAAACAAAAAAAAACAATGGGAAAATAAATAATTAGTTCAAATGAGTTTTTACTGTACAGTACATAATGCATACGTTACTTAAAACTCCAAAATACATTGATGACGTCACATATTTTTATGTTAACAATTGATACCACACACACACACACGCACATACACACACTCACACACATATACACACGAGTAGGCACTAAACAAGTGGCTTTTCACATAAACTTAACATTTTACGAGCAAATATCTCCAGCTGAGCTGCACTTAATTTTATAGCATTCCTTCTAGTCACAGTTTGTGTGAAATGTTAGGTTTGCAGAAATATCAAATTTAGGGTAACTTCCTACAATTACTTATGATTTTCGATTGATTTATAGTTTTCGAAATTTTATTATCTGTAGTTGTATAACTAGCTGTCGCCCGCGACTCCGTCCACGCAGCATTAAAAACACATAATTAGTAGCCTATGTGTTCTTCCAGACTATGTTCTATATGTATGCCAAATTTAATTGACATCTGTTCACCAGTTCTGGAGATACTTTCACACAAACATCCAAACATTCTGATTTATAATATTAGTAAGATTAACTTTGTTACTATTTGATCGTGTTAAATTAAAGATAACTTGAAGATGAAATATGGTACCATTTGCCAGCTGATAGGAAATCCTAAACCTCGTAAAGAGCACTTCTCTCTGTAGGTCAAGAGCCTCGACTCAAGAGGGATGTATCACCTTTGCGGGAATTACGATACCCGTCTTTTTAGTATGGAAGTCTTTGTTATAGATAAGTTCAAGGTTCTTTTTATCTTCTATATTTTCTGATTAAAATAAAAAGTGTTAGGAAGAAAATCCGTCACTGTGCTGGTATACCGGCGCAACACTAGTAGCACTAAAATGTCGATGTTTATGTCCCCTCACTATTCATTGTGACTTGACTTTGTAACGAAAGCACGCCATTTGTGCCAAATGATTTTAACTAGTAATGTGTAAGAAAAGTAAGGAGGGAGTTTTTGCTAAATTATTTAGCTTACAATAGTTGATTGATCGTAGTTTTGTCTAGATTAATAGTTTTATTTAATAAAGTATTATAATTAATAAATAAATAATAAATTAATTTTAATTTAATTAGTGACTTAATAATTAATATAGAGTTAAGTAATTCAATAATAAGTTTATGTATATATTTTTAAGTTATGTAAAAGTAAATACAAAATTGATTTCAGCTGTTATAAAGTATTATATGAAAGTATAGCTCTTTATCTATTAAGAACTAATTAATAAAATTCTTTATTCAGCAAAAAAAAAAACAGATTCTTGTCTATTAACTAAAGTTATTAAGAGTTAGTTACCATATTATGTATTATACAACGTGTCCCAAAATTAGGTCCAACTAAATATGTTTTGAACTTGAAAATTGTTTTGTGATTTTTTTTCCTTATTATAAATAAAAAACATGTACATAAATGTACAGAATAACAAAGAATAAAAAGGTTTTAATCAAACAGGGCTTCGTTTTGACTTTTTATCAAATAGCCATGTTTTTTTTTAAATTAGCCGCGCTTTTTGTATTCCAACGTCTTTGTAAAGAAATGAGCGGTCAACAAGTTGCTTTCCCTTTAATTAATTTTACTTCTAAAATAATAAAATAAAATTAGAGATGAATTAGATTACCTTTTTATTAATTTTCTTTCATCTTTTCTTGATTTTTATTTATGAAAACTGTTGACTTGTATATAAAAGGAGTACTTTTTACCTTTATGTTTTTTTTTCATACAAAATAAATACGTTATAACATTTTTGGGATTTTTTATACTCTTTTAAAATAATTTTGCCGTCGTCAAAGAATTATTTGCTACTACAAATCAAACGATTAAGTCGTGGAGTTATTTAATGCAGACGAAGTCATAGGAAACATCAAGTATACATGAAGTATTTTTTTCTTTAAAATCAGCTCAAAGTATATTATATTTCAATATTAAAAAAAGGTTGGTTATTAAGGAATCGGAAACGAATCTCCGTTGTTATAAAATGTTTTACATTTGGAGAGCGCAGTAATTGGGTCCGTAATTTCATATATTTTATTGTATTTTCAAGTATCATTCTACATTTATTATGAGTATATTTTATTGTACCACAGATAAAAAAGTTATAAGAACTTTTTTTATTTAATTTTGTTAAATAATTAATAAATTATGTTCTAATTTATTTCTAGTTTTTTTAGTAGTAATAGTTTGTTCGTTTTATTCTGAAAGATCTCTATATTTAAATCGGTTTTTTTTTTATCCACAGTCGATTTATTTCCTACCCATTGTGTCATATAACGCTTATTTGCAATTAATAGAAAACGTGTAACACCAACGTATCGGTTTAAAGTATAGCTCTTATAGTTATAGTTAGCTTACCACTATTTTGTTGTAAATAGGAAGCAAATGCAATTCTTTGACTAGTAAAAACAGGTACAACTTTATTCCGGTTGAGCATTTGTAGCAAAGTTTATAAGAGCTGTACCACACA